TTTATGAATTTTCTCTTTAAATGATACAATTATCATGGTTATGAGGGTTATTTGAGAGACTAAAACACACACCTAATATGATCTTATACAACTGTTCTATAATGTGTAGAACAGAAAAAGGTCTCAACCAAATTTTTGCAGTTCTATTTTTTAACAGTGCCTTTTCCAAATTTTCCCTTATAACCATAACAATGTTACAAAATGTATTAGATGATTGCAAGTTTTATTGTTGTTTGTATTAAATACACTTTCACTAATAACCATTTTCAATAATCATAAAGTTGCATTTGGAAAATGGTATCTTTTCATGTTGTTTACCTTTTCAACTCTAACCATATCAGTTACAAAAAGCATTTTTAAATGTCCCATTTATATATCATTATTTTCAAATCTAAATATTTATATACATCATTTTCAATAATATTTTTAAAATTAATTAATTAATATATGATTTTTCCTCCGCGATTTGGCAGATGTTTGAGTTTGAGTTACTATTATAACTTTCCAAAAAATGAGCAAAAATGAGATATCATATAAGGCTTAAAAGCATATGAAATGAAAATGAGAGATCATTCAAACTGTGCTGTCTCTAATATCAAGATGCATATATAACGCGTACGTCCAAAGCTCTTTATTGAAATGAAATGAAAGATCATACAAATTTTGTTCTGTCTAAAATCGTTCTGCAGGTTGTTTAGGTTTTCTAATTACAGTGTGCAGTTTATGCGTAGTAGGTTAAGATTATTTGAATTCCTCTTGTGGGGTTATTGCTAATTAATTACTATGGTTTAGTAAGGCGATTTTTGGAGACTATTGAAACACACTCTTAATATGTTTAAATTATTAAACGAAGGAAAAACTACAAAGCACCAAATCTTAAAGGAAAACGAAGTATATGAAATTAATTTGAAATTAATTTGAAACTTATAATACAGCTTTTCTAATGGTTATTTCCATGATTTGGTCAATATTTACTGGAACCCATATTAGAATGTTAGGCGGGAATGGAATGACCGAACACAAACACAAAAAGAGTTTATTATATATATATTCAGATTGAAACAAAAGTGTACACAACATAAGATTACGCTTGAGGGGAGAGACAAGCAATGATAAGCTTTGCCCTTGATGTTTTATTTAAAAGCAAAAGAAACTTCAACATAAACACACACACATGTCATATCCTCACACTGAATGGAAACAAAAGTCACACTTGGTACTTATATGCGGTTATTTTAAACCTTTGTGTAGCAGTGGCAGTGTCTGTCGCTTCCCTCAATAACCGCCCAACAGACTGGAGGAGAACCGTATTTGGCTAAGCAACACTTGCAGCATTCCACATCCGTCGTTGAGTGGGCCGCCGGGCACTCGTCATAGAACACACGTGAAGCGGCCGTAGAACATCCACCAGGACAATCAATAGCCTTGCTCTTGAGGAAACCTACATGTTGACATATATTTTCATCAGCACAAGATCATTAAGAGACAACTGCAAAGTATAATAGTGATCAACTTTGTTAAACTAATATTGTACCAGTTGAAGCCATCAAGAGGACAACCAAGAGAACAGTGAAGCTGACGGAGTTGAGGTTCTTTGCCATTTCTTTTCTTCTATGCTTTGCTTTCACTAAAACTTGTTCTTTTTCTTTTTCTTTTGGATACACTTAATTTTGATGATACAGATTCATAGATGTGGTCATCTATTTATAGTCCAAATTTGGTAAATTTGTTATATTCGTTTAAACTCTTCTCTCTTCTTTCTGGTTTTTCCCAAGTTCGTAATGTCGCCACAATTATGCAATGCCGTCTTTTTCATTACATTGTATTATTCTTTTTTTATAACATGCACTTGTCTTTAAAAAATGAACTTAGAGGAAGGCTTCTCTGTATAAATTGTTTTTGATGTTTATTTTTAGCTTGAAATAATTATTGTTAAAAAATTATATCGTTGATGTCATAGACAGAGTAAATAGGAATCTTGGTGACTCTTTAATTCAATAATGATAACGATTTGCCTACATCAAGTTCCTTAATTAACTTTAGGGTTTCAGCTGCAATACAGCAATCATGGCGACACTATCTCTGGTTCTTTTCACTTTGGAGCAACTCCTAACATATATATATATATATATATATATAGTGTATTAATTATTATAATAACTTGTTTGAAAACGACCCAAAACGATATACCGTATAACGGTATAAGCATATACACGAGTTAATTAGAAATGTGTGTATAACACTTTAGTGAAATACAAATGAGAGATTATATAAAAAAAAATGATTTTAAAGATTATTTCGAATTTTGTTCGCGCCTTAAATCATTCTCGCACGATTTAGTCTCATAGTATTATTCCAATTTATGTGTGCTGCTAGCTTGTGGTTTTTGTTTTAAAAAGATTCCCCTTTTTTGAATTTTTTCTTTAAATGATTAGAATTTTCTCTTTAAATGTTTTAAAAGAATTTCCCTTTTATGAAATTTCTCTTTATATGATACAATTATCATGGTTATGAAGTTTTTTTGTGAGACTAAAACACACTCCTAATGTCATCTTATACTGCGAAGAACAGTATAATGTGAAGAACAGAAAAAGGTCTCCATCCAGTTTTAATAAATCTAAAGACTTTGGTTTTGTTCGTTTTTGTATCTAGATGCAAATACTTAAATATTGTTCGTTTGAACACTTTTAAACTAGCATTTAGATATTGCATTTGGATGTAAAATAAAAAAATATTTCAAAAATTTGGATATTTGAGATTCTAAAAAAAGTAGAGTTTGAATGCAGTATTTGCATCTTAAAAACCAAAATACAAAATACCCCTTAATATGATAGAAAAAAATGCAATTAAACTTATATTTATTACTTTTTGCCAAAATCGTAAAATAAAAATAGTAAAATCATATTTTTCCTAAAAATTGTAAATTCAATTTTCCATAAAAATCGCAAAATTGTATTTTCGCACCAAAATCGCAAAATAACAGTAAAATGCAAAGTTGTCTTTTTCCACCAAAACCGTAAAATAAAGTTTTCTTGCCAAAACCAAAAAATTGTGCTTTTCTTCCAAATCCGTAAATTTGTGTTTTCTCACAAAAATCAAAAAATTGAGTTTTCCTGACAAAACCGTCAAAATGGATTTTCCCGCCAAAACCCGAAAATTATGTTTTTCGACAAAAATCGAAAATAAAGTTTTCTTTCTAATTCTAAAAATCAGGTTTTCTGCCAAAATTGGAAAATCGAGTTTTTCCGCCAAAACCGTAAAATTAAAATTTTCCCTCCAAAACCGAAAAATCAGGTTTTCCCGCCAAAATAATAAAATCAAGTTTTCCGTCAAAAGTGTAAAATCGTGTTTTCCCGCCAAAACCGGACAATCGAATTTTTTCATCAAAATAGCAAAATCAATTTTTCTGCCAAACTAAAAAATCGAGTTTTTCCGCCAAAAGCAAAAAAACCGGATTTTCCCGCTAAAACAGCAAAATCAAGTTTTCTCATCAAAACCGTATTTTTCCATCAAAACCGCAAAATTGAGTTTTTCTGCCAAAATCATGGTTTTCCGTCAAGACCGAAAAAATAAGTTTTTCAGTCAAAATCAATGTTTTCTGCCAAACGTATTTTTTTCAGTCAAACTTTATTTTTCGAAAAAACTATTAATTTATATTATCATAAATAAATCATTTTAATTGTAGATAAAATTAATAAATTGAAAAATATACCCTTTTGATCATTTTGAGATATTTTGTATTTAGAATTTTTTTATAAATACACAAACAAACAATATTGCATTCAAATTCTCTATCCAAATGCAAAATCTAGTTTTAAAAACAAATAATATGTAATGATGCATCTGAAAATTGTATCTAGATGCTGAGTATGAACAGGGCCTTGGATGGAATTTTATGGGTTTTGCTTGAAGCCACTTAAGAACAGAGCATACCACGAACCTTTATTCTTTTTCATTGTTTCTAAGATCATCCTGTATGGTTTTGTTCATTTTTTATAGGACCTTAAACCAGAAATTCTCTACCGAAATTAAGCCAAAACCGAGACTGAACCGAGAATATGTCATAGCATACATTGGTTTCTTGTAATTTTTTTTTTGGTTTTATGTTTGGTTAATTTGGCTTCTTGTATTGATGATATCTAAAGAGCCATTTGTTCTGACCACTTTCTTGGTCTTTATGATGATAAACTGATAATGGGTAGTGGTCCATACACATACACACACAAGTGGCTTACCTTCTCCATTCTATTTTCCAGATATAGCCATTTTTTTGGGGATTCATAGACAAAAACCCTTAGACTGCGATTCGTGGAATGCATAAGAGAAGGTAATTCAGCTCAGGATGTTTCTTGTACGAAAAGTTTCACATCCTTGGTGGCCGAGATGAGAATAATCAAAACCTAACTTCTGGTGAAAGTTACGATGAGGTGACAAATTCTTGGAAACTGACACCCAACATGCTTGGAGACATGAGCTTCACGTCTGGCCAGTCGCCTCCCCTCATTGCGGTGGTCGACGAACAACTCTACTCGTTGGAAATATCTTCGAACGAGCTTCGTGTTTATAATATAAATGCAAACGCTTGGAAAAAACTTGGTGCTGTGCCTGTGAGAGCAAATACCGCATCTGATTGGGGAGTTGCGTTCAAGTCAATTGGAGATAGGTTTTTGGTGATTAGACCTTCGCCTTGGAGTAGGAAAGTGTTGCTTTACACATGTCGTTCTTCTCCAAACAAGGAATAGCAGCTTTGGAAGTAACTAAGAAACTACTGCGATGCTGTTGATGAGCACCACCAGTTTATTCATAATTATTATATCATGTTTGCTTGAAGTTTTTTTTTGGAAAAAGCCCGGGAACATATTTTAATCGTTTGTGTTTCAAATAAGTTTACCAACAATTTCTGGACGCTAGAAACTAATTCTGGTAGCTGGATTTGGAAGCAGCTTTGTAAGCTGCGAGAGTTGGCTAGACCGTTTATTTTTTGTGATGTTCGCTCGGGGATGACTGCTCAGTTCTGGCATGACAATTGGACAGGTTTAGGTCCTCTTATTGAACTCTCTGGTCTTGATGGTCCTCGTTGCACCGGCCTACCTTCTCAAGCGGTTGTAGCGGATGCAATTCGCGATGGGAATTGGTGGCTTCATCGCTCACGAAGCCGTAACCCAATTAATTCTCTGGTCTGCCAATGCCTGCCAGATCCTCACCCCATTGCAACAGCTGAGGAGGATGACGCTTACTTATGGAAAATTGGCTCCAATGGAGTTCCTAGAGGTTTTTCTTCTCTGCCTCGGCAACTTGGAAGCACCTACATCCTACATCCTCGGTGGTGCCTTGGTTTAAGACGGTTTGGTTCTCTGGAAGAATTCCAAAGCACTCGTTCATCTGTTGGGTTGCAGCCCGTGATAGGATGTATACGAGGGACAGGATGCGAAGTTGGGGCCTTAACATCCCAGCCAACTGTCTCTTCTGCAATACAGTCGATGAAACGAGGGATCATCTCTTCTTCGATTGTCCTTATAGTCAGGAGGTATGGTCTTACTTCTACTTAGCTGCCCATTTAAATCCTCCGGCTGCTTTTGATCTCCTCCTGGTTTGGATGTGCAATCCCTCTCGAAACAAGAACATCTCTCTCATCATTAAACTTGCGTTTCAAGCTTCTCTCTATGCAATTTGGAAAGAAAAAAACTCCAGGTTACACTCTTCAATCTCTTGTCCAGCTGCTCTGATTGTCGAAGAAATCAAGAAACAGTTAAAAGCTCGTTTAGATCCTTTATCTAGGGCTCAATCGGCCAATTTAGCTTCTATCTCTTACTTAACCACTTGGTTCTCTCTCTTCTAACTCTTTCTTTTGATCGTTTTTGTTAATTAGGAAAATCACAGATCTTTTTTATGATCTGTAGCATCCGAGCTGTAACCCTGCGGGGATGATTTGTAACTATTTTTTTTTTTTATAAAAAGCCAGTTGTAAAAAAAAAAAAGAAAAGAAAAAAAAAAGTTTACGGCAATCTTGACGCCGAAATATAACTAAAATTATGGTTTTATGTTGTTTTTTTCTGATTTATCTTTATGTTTTGCATATGCGTCTTTAATTTAGACGTAAATGCTGATTTGTTTAATGTTATTTAATATAAGTGTGTGTTTGTGTTGAAAAGCTTAATGTCGTTTATGTATTGAAGCCAGAGCCGTGTCCACGTTGTGAAAAAAGAAACATTTGCTTAGGACAGCAAATTTTTGTTGTTATTATAGGGCATCACTTTAAAAAAACAATTTCCATCTTTATTACGAATAACTATATCATATTAATATCAATTATTAGATAATAAAATAATTTAGCATGTATAGGTTTACCATCTACGTTATAAGTAAGTTATATATGAGTTTAGAAATTTGTAATACCTTTAACTAGGTATTTCTCCGCATCTTATGCGAGGTTTGATTATTATTTTTTTTTGAAATTAATAATATTAGTTTATTTATTGATAAAAAAATCAGATTTTATAATTATTCAAAATCAAAATTAATATATTTGACAAAATATAATTTTCATGAATATATTTTTTATGTGATAAAGCAAAATATTATCTATATCTTATTTTTTAATATCTCTTATATTATCCGATGAAAAATTATATGTATATTTTGTTGTCTAGTTACATCAAACAAAACTCTCAATAAAACCGCAACTTCGAATCTTTCACGACTGTTTTTTTGAAAAAAGATTAGAAATCTAAAAAAAAAGTTGTAGAAAGAGACGTACGGCCGTCGATTGATCTAGATTGTTTTGAAAAAATTGTTTTAATATATACAGAGCTTCAAAAAGGTTTAAAAGATTTAGGGTTTTACTTGTGGCTGTATAAATAAATTAGGTTAGTCAAAAATAATAGTAGGTTAAACAATCAAATTAAAATTAGTTTAAGAAAATAATTAGGATCGGATTTTTTGTGATTTATGTTAGTTATCTTTTTTTAGTAAACTGAATATTTTATATGATTTAAACTCGAATTTTTGGAAATCTAGATTAAAAAATGAAAATTAATTAAAAATTAGATTATATTAATTTTTTAATTTTATTAAGGGTAATTAAAGTCTTTTCGTATAAAGGGCAAAAAGTAATCAACAATTATAACTCTAAACCACAGCCCAACTTGCTTCTCAATTAATAATATGATTTACTATAAAAATATAAATAATTATTAATATGAAAGAATTAGGATACGATAATAGTTTAGGATTTTTTATAGAAACAAATTTTTTAACAATTTATTTATTAACATTGAAAGTTAATTAATAAATTTTCAATGTTTTTAACATCTAGTTAAAGTTAAAATATATAAATTTCTATTTTTTGATAATTTTATTATTTAATTAAATACTGTAAAATATATTTCTTCTGTGTTAAAAAGTTTGATTTTTTAGATGTTTTACAGTTATTAAAAACGATAATTATTTACTTTCTAAGTTACTTTTTATCTGTTTTTCAATTTTATATTGATTTTTATTATTTTTTACCCAAAAACTATTATTAATTGTTTTTGAAAAATAAATATATTAAATATAATCTAAAAAATCAATCTTTTACAAACAAAAATAAATCTCTAATTATCATACTTTTGGGAATGGAAAAAATATTTCTTTTTGTCTGTGAGAGCATTTTTTTTTTAGTTCGTTTATGGTATTCGTGATGGTTGTCACGGCTCTGATTGAAGCGTATGATTTTATTATTTACCTCTTTGGTCTCAAACTAACAGCGTTTGCCATCTTGAAAGCATAGAAAAGAAAAATGTAAAATCTTAAAGAAAAACGAAGCTAATTTGGTCCATTGCTCCTCGGATTCATGCACGAATCATGGCTACAAAACTACAACGGTATAAGGTTCTGTTTAAGTCCAAGATGTTTAATCTCTTGAGTCTAGGGGTTTACCCCTTTGAATTTTCAGACGCTTTTAGAAGAGAAAAAATCCACTCTGGTCTTATATATTGTCCAAGATTTGGAAAATATTCGTAGAGGATATACGTGTGCCCACATTTGAATTTAGGCTGGATGCGAATGAGGAACACAAACACCAAACAAAAGTGAACACAACATGAGATTACACTTAGGAGGGGCAAGCAGTGATAAGCTTTGCCATTAATGTTTTATTTGGAAGCAAAAGAAACTTGAACATAAACACACACACACACACCAAATACATACACTTGATACTTATATAAGATTGTTTCAAACTTCCTTAGTTTGAGTAGCAATGGCAGTGTTTATCGGTTCCCTCAACAACCGCCCAACAGACCCAGAGGACAACCAAAATTGGTTTTGCAATAAGCAACACAATCAGCATTTGTACATGTGAACGGGGCCGGTCCGCACTCCCCTCACTTTGTTAATCATGCGGTGCTTGTCTAACATAATCATCCAAAAAGACGGGGCATCTCTCCAAGTCATGTTCTTATATTCACTTTTTCTTTAGTTATATCTATTGTTTTAAAAAACGATACTTCCTTTATTTCTTTTTAATTGTAGTTGCAGACTACTTTTTTATTTTAAAATAATTATTGTTTTCAGTTTTCAATACAGATTTATGATAAATTTTCCAGTTTTATTTTTACCTTTTTAGCTTATTAAATACTCTTATCAAACAAAATAGTATAATAAATAAATGTAAATTAGAAAATTTAATCTGTGTGAAATCATCTAAAATGACAATTAAAAAGAAACAGAGATAGTATTGTTCCTGTCATAGATAAAGTCAGCACGAATTTTAGCGACTCTTTCTTCCAATAATGGAAACGATTAGGCTTCATTAATTCATTAATAAACTTTAGGGTTTCACCTGCATTGCAATAATTATGGCGACACTATTTCAGTTCTTAGGGTTTTAGCTGCATTGCAATAATTATGGCGACACTATTTCTGTTCTTTTGACGTTTGAGCATCTCGTAACTTCTATCCATGAGAGAATTATTATAATAACTTTCCAAAAAACGAGCTAAAATAAGATACTATACAAGCATACAAGAACTAACTAGATCAGATGCCTATATAAAAAAATATACTTTTTATATTTGCTGAAATCTGTTAGACTCAAATTTTCCTTCTTATTGATTAATTATTAATATTTAATATTTTGTGGGTCTTATTGATTAATTATTAATATTTTGTGTACTTTATGTATATAAAAATACTTTATAGTATTTTGTTGTTTTTAAGCAGACAATGAAGATACTTTTGATGGGTGTCTTAAAAACAAAACAAAAATATAATTTTTTTTTTAATAAATTGAAGTATAAATTTATGTTAACAAGTTTTTAATATGTTTTTAAAAATGTAATACATGAAAATATATCTTATTATATAAAGTTGGATGCATCAAAGTTAGTAATTCACAAGATCGCGACACATGGCAATTTAATTCGATCAGTTTTTTACACGTATTATTTAAAATAGTATACAAAAACTAAAAAAAAATATTTAATTAAAAAAACCAAAACAAGTGTATCTCAATTAAAAATAAGATGTATCTCAATTAAAAATAAGACAAACTTCTAATTCTAAAAAAAACAATAACACATTAAAAATAAGATAAACTTATAATTCTGAAAAAAAACAAAAACAGATTGAAGATAAAATAAAATTCTAATTCTATAAAAAAACAAAAACAGATATATATTATTACAGTGTGTTACCTGTTGACATTTTCTTTTTACATGATTTAAATTAGTCTATTAGTGTTTAGAGTAAATTAATTTCTGGTGTTCAATAAAAAAATAACTACTAATTTTACAAAAATGAAAAAAAAAAATTACTTAATTTTACAAAAAAAAAAAAAAAATTATAACCTTAACTTAAATTAATAATTTAAATTAAAAATATGTGCAACTCAAGGGTCTATATCTAGTAAATTATAGAAGTGCAATTCAGAAACTGGAATTAAAAGATCTTATTTTAGATGTCATAAAATTTGTCCACTCATATCTTGACATGTGTCTGTTCTTAACTAAGAAAAAGATCTTATTTTAGACCCTGGTCTTAAAGTTTAGACACTCTGTACAATTTTTTTATTCAACTATATTATTAAGATTCCTTCAGTAGACACCTAGAGATGACCATTGGGGTTGGTCTTAGATTTCTAAAAAATAAAAATATAATCGAACATCCCAACAACTAATTAATCTATTGAATTATGTTAGCTGTTTGTAGCAATTTCTATTTTTTAAGGGTAGGATGTAATCTTTTTTTTTCAAATCATTAGTTATTTACTTTTGTCTTTAATTTTTTTTCATGTTTTTAGTTCTTATTTTATATATACAATTAGTATAAGTGTAACGCCCCCGACCGTCTCTACCGGCGAGTCACCCCTCTCTCCATCAGGCTCATATGGGCCCCACCCCTATAGGACAACAGGTGCAATA